GGGGGGGGGGGGGGCTTGGGCATCTGTTCCTGCTTTTATTGGCAGTTGAAATCTCTTGCCATCTTGCAGTCCTTTTGCCTAAGGGAAGCTGCTAGAATAAACGCCAGGCGCTGCAGTGGGATGGCAGGTGCCAGCTGACCTCTCGGCTTCCTTTGTCTTCCAGGCTTCGCCCACCGCTCTGGCCAAGTGTGTGCTGGCAGAGGTGCCCAAGCAGGTGGTGGAATATTACAGCTCCAAGGCCTTACCCCCCCGTGGCCCCCAAGGGAGCACCCCTGGCTCTGCTTTGAACTCACCGCAGTGACCCACCGGCCCACCTGCGTCCGTCTCCCCTCCTTGTGCTCGTTCTCCAGAAATCAAGACCCCCCCGAGAGCTTCTCTGTCCCCCATGCAGAGCAGGATGCCTTCTGTGCCCCCCTGGCCGTTTGGGCACCGGGACAGCGAAGTTGTGCAAGAGGCCAGCAAGTCCAGGAAAGGCCCTGGGATGAGGGAGGGCAGGTGGGCAGCAGATGCTCCAAGCTGAGCAATGCCAAAGGGGCAGCAGGATGGCCAGAGGGCAAGGAGGAAGAGGCAGGCCGAGAGGGGAGGCGGGTGCCCTGCGCCCCTCACCAGTGCCATCCAGCTACATCCACACAGACTCCTCCCTTCCTTCCTTCGGGGGAAGAAACGCCCCTATGTTTTGTAGCCGGGGGGGGGCGGGGGGGGGACTGCTCAAGAAACAGCCGCTCCCCTTCTCTTTGCAACGGAGGGCCCTGGAAACGAAGGAGTAAATGAAGGAGGGGCATTCTGGGCGGTGGGGGGGGGCAGAGGACAGAGGCACCCCAAGGGGCTGAACTTCACAGAGTGGGCCGGGAGGGACCCCCAGGATGGGCCCCTGCGCCTGCCTTCCACGGAGGAGCCCAGGACCATCTCTGGAGGGTTTCAGCTCTTGGGAATGGAACCGCCGGCTCTCCCCCTCCCAGTTCCTTGGGAAAGGGGTGCAGCAGAGAGGCCCCTGGCACCACCTGGGTTGTCCAGCCCCCCCGCCACCCCCGTGCAGAGAGGGCTCCGCTGGTGATGAGGCCGCCTCTTGGCCTGGCACAGGGCCAGGTCTGCAGCGCCAGAGGACCGGTCCGTGTTGGGAAGGCACTTCGGTCCATTTCCCAGCCTCTCCTGTGCATGAAGTGGTTCAGGTCTGGGCCCCATTTCCCTCCGTGTGCTCCGTGGTTGTCTTTTGCTGTGATGTGTCATTTGCTGGTGGTTGCATGAGAACCCCTAAATGTACCCAGGAAGATGGCCAAATAAAAAGCAGATTCTGGTCCCTTGGCACTCTTGTCCTTTGGAGGGGGCCCTATAAGCCTCTTGAAAGAATCACGGACTGCACACTCTTCAAACCGAAGGCCGTTTCTAACCGGAGGCCAGCGTGCCGCATGAGCACACACCTGGTTGATGTCTCGGTCGTGGGGACAATATGGGCACTTTGGTCCTTTGTGACCAACTCTGGAGTGACAAACCACCTGTACAGAGTCAGCCAGGCCTCAGGTGCATTTTGCGGTATTTAAGAACTGGCAAAAAGTACGGAGGATGGAGGTTTTGGGTGGCTGCTCCAGATGCCAGCACCACTGAGCAAACAAGAGCTTCCATACGCCTGCAGGGTGATGCCCAGGGGTGGGTTTGGGCCGAACGCCCCCCTTCCCTCTGCCTGAGGCGTTTCTTCTTGCAGCTGTGACACGTCCTAAACTCCCATTTCAAAACCCTTTTCTGAGTGTTCGCATTGCGTGTTTCAGAGGCACAGGATGCCCATTCTCTGAGCCAAGTGTCTGCTCTGGAGAATTAAGGCCAATTAGCCCAAAGCCCACTGCAGTTGGGGCTACAGAAAGAGCTTTGCCTCCAAAAACACGGCACCAAAGGAAGCCAGAAGCCACCCAAGCGGAGCCCGGTGGCACTTCCAAGTCGCCTCCTCCCTCGGGAGCAGGGAAAGCAGGACCTGCCCCTCAGGGACACGGTTCAAGGCCACAACTGGAGCACCACTGGACTGTCTCATGTTCGTCTTCTTGCCAGGATCAGTTTGGTGAAGGCTAGGAAGTAGGTGACCCTGAGTGCTAGTCCTGCCTTGGGCACCAAACCAGCTGGGTGACCTCAGGCTGGCCCCTCTCTCTTAGCCCCAGAAAGGAGCCAATGGCAAATCTCTTCTGCAAAATCTTGCCAAGAAAACGGCAGGGATGAAGCCACGCAGCCTCTGAGAATCAGGCCTGACTGAACAGAAGGTGTGTGTCTGTGTGGGGGGGAATCTTATTGCAACAAGAAATAGCCAAGAGGCCAGGTAACCTGCCCTGCAACGACAACATTTCCCACAAATGTTGTGTCTGTTCTTACGAAATGCAATCCTAAAATGCACACACAGCGGTTGGGGTTGTAAGCAAGGAGGGGGACAGGAAGAGGCTGAGCGGCTGGAAGCAGAGAGAGCCCTGGGGGCCACTGTTCCTTCCGCAGTCCTAGTACAAACACCCCAGCTTTGCTCTACTAATTTACACACATAATGTGATCCAAGCTCATTATCGTGATCCAGACCATGGGCGACAAAAGGAGCTTCTACATAAATTAAAATTTGGTGTCTTAACGTGACAGTTCTCTTTGAACTTCTTTTATTCAAGAACAGCAGCCGAAGCTACCCTGGGAGGACAGAAAGTTCCCCTGCTGGTGCATTGCCACATTCAGGAGAGAAAGCTAAATGGAGGGGAGGCTGGAGGAGGAAGGGGAGGCAGCTCCATCCAGGGGTTCTCTTGTGCAGCTAATCGGGCGGAAAAGAGCTTCCAAATGGGCGCCTTAAAAGATTTTGCAATCCAGGCTCTCTCTTGCTTTGCCCCCAGCGCTTAGGCCTGCTCTGAGAAGCACCTTCCGCAGGGGGCCTTCCCATTTCCATCTCGCGCCGAGCCTCAACAACGTGAGCCATGTCAGCCGGCAAATGGTGCATGGGTTTCCTTGTAGGTTTCTGCTTCTGATCACAGCCACCCTGAGATGCTGCCCAGGGGCTCAGCGAGAAGAGATTCCAATGCAGTCAGCAGTTCAATGGGATTAACTGACGCTTCCTACCACACACAGTGAATCAAAGGCTCTGAGACGCCAAGGGAACAAAGTGGAAACAAAGCATCGTCAGGGCCTTTGTGTCCCATTGTCATGGAATTAAAAATAAGAATGGCCGTGTGTCTGGGAGAGAGAGAGAAAGGAGGGTGGGGGGAGAAGGACCCCATCCATGCCAACATTCTTTCAGCACCGGACAGCATCAGCTGAGCCGCTGGCTGAGCCGCTAGTCCAGGTCTGGGTTGGGGGTGCTTCAGCACCACGGACAGAGGTTTATATGGCCCAAGACACACGTTTGTCTTGGATGTTCCGGCAAAAAATGAACAAAACATGGACTTTTCTATCTCCCAGTTGTGCTCTGGAACCAGTAATTGTTTTGGGCATGTTTTTTTTTTTAAAAATGGCCAAGCTTTAATAAGTTTTAACCAGCAGGAGAGACAATAACATGTTCTGCTGATGCTTTGCCTGGAATCCAACATATTTTTTTTCACAACCAGTTTAATATATGGTTATATTCTGAAATGCAGCCTTCCTTCATTTGTCTGGGCACAAATTTGTACAATTTAATCACATAACACGATGCAATAATTTAATACATTCTTCCCATTCACACACACCCCACTCCTACAAAGCATGTTTGAACACCCCCAAGTCTGCCATAAGGCTGGGGCATTCAGGAGCACCAGTTCCAGAGTGACTGTCCCCCACCTGACACCCCCTCCCCAACAAGAGGAGCCAGGCTCTAACCATGAAACAGCTCTATTCAACAGAGACAAAGTGATTATTTCTGACTGTCAGGATAATTGCTCAAATTGTTCTTGCAATAAATGGGGCTTTGAAGCGAGATGTATTCATGCTGACAAGGGTGAAGTTTGATGGGAAAGCACCTGCTTTAGCAAACGGGCTTGCATGCAGCCGAGTCTGGCAGAAATGCTGGAGGCTGAGATTGCTACATCCTCCGTTCAATTGTTCAAAGGTTCCTTGGTCATCCTGCTGGCTGGCTGCTTTCCAAAAACAGGCCTGGCTCCCTGGAGGTTCATTTCCCAGAGAACTTCCTTTGTGGCCATCTTCGTCCAGGAAATCCTGGTTCTTTGGCTCCAGCCTTGCAAGAGGAGCAGCCAGGCCAGGAAGGAAGGGCTGCCCATGAAGTAGGCACCCGGGGGAGGTCAGGGATGCCTTCCAGCTGATCACAGACCTGCTCAACCCTTCCTTTGAAACAAATCTGATTTCACGCATGCTCCATGCAAAGAAGCCCACCCACATTTTCCCTGAGCCCTGGCTAACGTTGAAAAGGAGTGAAGAGCAGGATGTTCCACTTGCCCCAATACCTCACCATCCATTTTGCCCCAATACTTACCCCCCCCCCCCATCCCGATCAATCTGCCACAGAGTTCTTATTTTTAGCTCCTGATTCATCTCTGTATAAAGAGGGATAATGGATGTCACCATAGAAACTCTTGTGCCTGATAAGATTCCTGCTGGAGCCCATCCTCTGCCGAGGGCAGATGTTTCTTGACGGAGGAGGAACCTGAGGCCTCCTTGAGTGCTTCTGTCATGGCAGGTGGGCCACCTGGATGGGGAAGAGCCAGATCCATCTTCTGCCCTTCCAAGGCTCTCTGGGCCTGGCTCTCTATTGCAGGTCGGCTGCGAATCCTGGGCTCCCATGTCTCCTCCTAACTGGGTGTGAACTGAGCAGAGATCCTTGGTTCTCTTTGATGTAGTGATTCTTAAATGGAGGAAACCTTTGAGAAACATCTGTCCCCACTACCCAAATACAATGTGTTGCGCCTGCAAACTCCGATTGTCTTGGACAAGAATGGCCTCCATAACCGTTTGCTCCTCTTCCCTCAGTGGATTTGTGGAAAATCAGTGCATTTGCCAAGAAAGTTAGGTTAACAATAAGGAGGCAAGGTTGACCTTCCCATCCCAATTGGAGATTCTCTGGGACTGATGACAAAGAGAATAACTTTTTAAAATATCATAAATAAATATAGAGATAGATTTTTCTCTGGTTTCAGCCATTATAAACAATAACCTTACTGCTTGATTCAAATGACCTCTTGTTATTATTCTGGCCACAATTATTTATACTACCATTGATGATGTTATCTAATTTGGGTAATAAAATGTATGCAAGAAAATAAGCAAACTCAGAGGGCACCAAGGACCCCACAATTATTTGTCCATTATTTAGTTGACTTTTCTGCAAGAGCAAAAGTTCTTCAGGCCTCGACAAAGTTGACCAATTTCCTTACAAATACAGAGGTTCAAGTTTTAAAAAGAAAGGAAAAGATCAATGATTCAATAACTGGAGTACGTGGGAGCCACATCCTTTGCTGTGTGCTGAATTGATCTGAAATTGGCTCCTAAGAATCCCCCTGAGGAATCCACCAGACTCCCTGACCACAAAGTGTCGCAGAAGAAGAATTTTGGAAAGTCTGCACTGCAGCAAATTGAGGCTGGCTTCCTTCAGTGGGCCTCCTCTCAAACCACAAAAAGGTTTTGGCCTGGCGGGCAGGTGCCTGTGGGCCAGCCAACCCAGGGAAAGGGTGCTGGAGGCCTTCCCTTCAAGGTCAGGAGGCTGGGGCCTCTCAGATGCCAAAGAACCTCCAAAAAACCATTCCTGATTTTGTGTTGTGCGGTGGATGGAAGAGGCAAGCTGCGTGTCCCAGTCGATTTCTTTCGATGCTGAATGCAGCTGAGGCTGAGGGTCCCTCCCTGTCCTTGGCAGCTGCAAACGGTTAGGAAATCAGACGGGACCCCAAAGGCCCCTCAACATTCATCTCAATCAGTTCAACCTCTCCTCCAGTCTATTGGGTGGGCTCAACTGCCACCCCCACCCCCACACACAGACATAACCCCCCCCCCCACACCCCCTGCTGTTGAAAGGTCCTCACTAGTAGAAATCCTGCCTGTGTGTTTGCACCAGCTGGTCATAGTACTGGGAAAATTGGGGGGGGGTGGGGGAGACCATTCAATATAGGGTAATTTGTCCTGCTTTTCCCCCCACATTTCCTCCCTGCTGCAGGACAAAGAGCTCCTTGGCCTGAGAGCTCTGGTCACCTATGTCTCTTGGGCCGGCGCTCCGGCCATTAAGAGAGGCCTGAGGTTGGCTTTGCATCTGCCCTAAATCAGCCATTGGCTCAGTGCCTGCTCTTGCCCTCCCACTTTCTTGGCTGCATTCAGAAGCCAACTTGCACCCGGGTTTGCGATACTTGCAGGCTGAGGAGCTTCCCTGAAGAAGCTGAATTCCTCCTCCAGCCAGGGAAGGGAAAGAGCCCCCTCGGGAAGGCTGGAGATGCGGGGGGGGGGGATGAGCAGCAGCCGCAGCCCAGCCACAGTACATGGAGGCCAGCTGCATCCAGAGCGACACAAAACTGGGCTAATTGCAGGGAGTGACGGGGAATGATTACAGGGTGCAACAGGAGCCGTGCACATGCCTGTCCACCCGTCCCCCAACTCTCCCCCCAAAGACTCTGGAAACCCTTCAATCACTACGTTTTCCTACTGTATGAACGCTGCCTGTCCATTCTTCCTTCTGACATGCGCAAAACACGGAGGTACAGATGTCCATCTTCCAAAACTGAACAGGCTGGGCTGGCCCACATCTCCAGGTCAGTAAAGGCCTGGAATGGAAGCAGGAGGAGGGCCAGAATTTGTACGCTGGATTCCCTTTGGGTGCCCCCTCACGGGGGCCATCAGCAGCTGCCCAAGGAAGCCTTCTGGTGTCCCAGAAGACGTCCTCCAGAAGGGCCCACCCCGCCCAGGCTAATAGCTGTTGAGCCTCAGGACTTCCATGAGTTGAGCCAACTCTCTTTTGAAGCCAACCAAACTGGTGGCCAGCAATGCACCTCTGAAACCGCCACAGAAAGCAGCAGGCAGTTCCCCAAGCCCCAGGTGGGAACTACTTTGCCATGGAGGTTCCCTTCTCACTTTTGGACCTGTTTCAAAGATGGAGACAGCAGGAGCTCCACTCCTCAACTCAACTGCTCAGGGGGTCTCAATAACACCAGGTGCCCTGCCAGGTGCAATTCAGGGTTAGTTGTCCTCTATGAAGCCCTTCAGGACTCAGGACCTGGTTACCTAGAGGAGCATCATTTCTGGCTGGATAAGATGGTGGACTCCAGATTCTAGCTGCAAATTTGGGGGATCTTGGAAACATGCTGGCTCAGTGGCTGGGAAATACCTCCCTCCAAGGCCTGCATAGTCTCCTTGACCTGTTGGACTTCCATAAAGCCACAGAGACCTGCCTTCTTGTCACTCGGGGTGGGCCAGGTGGTGTGTGCATCTCCTTGCTGGCATTTGCCGGGGAAGATGTTTGTGTTAGTCACCCTCTGCAATGCATGCCACGTTCTGTTTCATTGTTATTAAATATTTTTACTTGCTATCTTAATCCTATTGTAAAATCACTTTGGGATTAAGGCATTATACAAGTAAATACAGAGAGAGAGAGAGAGAGAGAGAGAGAGAGAGAGAGAGAGAGAGAGAGAGAAAGAGAGAGATGATTAGATACGTAGGCAAAGAGATCTGCACCAGGCTGGATACAATTCCAGAACTGATATGCAGGAAATGCAGCCTCCTCCCTGCAGGAACATCTCCCCTCTGTTGGGGAGGCCCTGTTGGCCTGAGGCCAGAGCCTTTTTAGGGAGTCAGCCCCCTCCTTTTCCCAAGTTCCTTGCTGGGCCAAGAGAGCCTGGGGTCAGTGCGGAGTCAGCTGGGGGAGAGGAGGGGGGCCTTGTCTCTGGGGCTCCACCAGCAAAACCTTTTGCAGTTTTGTGAATGCGGAGGAGGCCGTTCCTTGAAATCGGAGTGAATGTTTGTTCTCCGTGGGCCGATGGCTTGGGCAGGTCCTGGGATGCTCCACATGAGCAACTGTGGCTGGAAAAGAGGCCCCTGAAATCCAGGTGAGGCTGAAGGGTCCCTGAGGTTCGGCCGAGGCTCTTGGGGCCCTGTGAGTGCCCCACATCATCCCCACCTGAGATTCCCCTGTGCCATGCCACCCCCAGGGAACCACATGGGTGAGGGACCCCTCCTGCATGCCCAGGTTGATTGAGATGGGGCTGAACTGAACCGCCCCCCTCCCACTTGCCCCCCAAACAGAGGAGATGAAAGGATATAGTCTATTGATTGAGTCTCACTGGCAACCCCCCCCCCTCCTTCAAATGCCCAGAAATGCCCCAGAAGGCGGGCAGGGGGCTGCAGCCCCCCCCCCCTTGCACTAAAACCTTGTACTTTGCACCATCCAATTGCAGGCTCCCCTGAGTGGGACTCTGCTGCCCCCGTGTGGCGGCTGGTGAGGTGGTGATGATGCCTTCATTTGCTGGCTATGCTTGCAACAGCCCAACCGGCTGGAGGCGACTGGAAAAAGATTTGCAGGTTTCATTTCCGGAGACGAAGAACTGACCCAACGTTCAAACTTTGGCTGTGGTTGTAGCATTATAAAAAGTGGGAAGCTCCCTTAAAGTCTAACTCTTTGTTCAGTGGCATAATCCATCCTCTCTGGCCAGGCAGTTTGACCTCTGACCAAAGCTTTCTGGCCATTAGGAAGCTTGTCCTATCAGACCCTGGAATTTGTCTTTTGCCTTCATTTAAATCCTGTGCCCCCCTCCGCCCCACTAGAGAGAGATCGACAGGTCTTGGCTTGCTTCTATCAAATCAAATTGTTATTATAGCCACCTGGTCACAAGAAATAATAAACAGGTAGAAATAATTACGTGCAAAACTGGAAAGTAAGAAAGAAAACGAAGGCCGTTGTTCCAGAGCCAGGCGGTACCTAGAGAAGCAGAGTTGGGCAACTGAAGGCTCTCTCCGTGTGTTTCTCAACCTCAGTAACCTAAGCTAGGTGGACTTCAGCTTCCTGGCTGGGGAATTCTGGGAGTTAAAGTCCAACTGAATTAATTTGCTGAGGTTGAAACATACGGATCTAGGATCTACGAGGTTTCAAGCAAATCAAGATGAGGGAGACCTAAAGAAAACAGCTGATCTCAGCTCCTCCAAATTCCATTCTGATCCTTGTCAGTCAGTTGTGGCTTGCAAGTCTGATGGAAGTGCTACTCACGGTCACACAGACTGTTCATTTTGCAATAAAAGATTACCGGGATCATTGTTAGCATCAGGATGTCACCCAGCCCGTCTCTCCCCCAGAAATTAGTCAAGAGGAATCATTATTACATCCCAGTTTGCTTTGTTTCCAGGCATTTTTAAAAACAGAGGGTCTAATTCTGCAGATACTCCAGGTAGATGACCATAAAAGCACAGCAAAAAAGGGGAACTTTATTGGGAAAAGGCAGCGGGTGGTGTGGCCTAGAAAATGGTCCTATATGCACCTGCATCTCTGTCCTAATAAGAGTCCAAAATTCTGGGTTTTCTACTTACTGGGGAAACTCCAGGTAAAGATCTTCTCCACCACAAGCTGACTCCTTCAAAGCTGTTGGACTACAATACCCTTAACCCACTGTCAGCAGGGCCAGCACACTTGGAGAATAGCGGGTTGGGCCGCTCAGCTGGAGATGTGGAAGAGTCAAGGCTGGGAGTGAAGTTCAGGTGAAGTGCTTGGCTTCCCTCTGGTTGCCTGAGCTCGTTGGGTGGGCAGCCTGAGGAATGGTGGAAGCCAGGCCATATAAGGTGCTGCTTCCAGAGGCCCAAACTCTTCTTGCCCGGACAGCTGCAGCAGCGAGGCCAACCCCCCCCCTTGCCCTCCCCATGGCCTCCAGCAGCCCCTTCAGGGCCATCCTGCAGCTCCTCCTGGCGGTTACTCTGGTGGAGGGAACCTGGGCAGAGGCCACGACCCCTTTGACCGGAGGGCCCAAGCGACCAAGCCCGGGGCAGCAGAGGTTTCTGGGTGCAGAGGGAAGGAACAGGGGAGGGGGGGTCATCCTGAGTGGGGAGGGAAGCCCCCACACCAGCAGGGGGACACAGCGGACCACAGCGCATGACCCCCAGGAGGAGCCAGCCCAGCCACACACCCCATGCCTGCCTGACCCTTGTGGCCAGCCCCCATATTGCCTGACCTGGCTGGTCAAAGTGGCTCTCCTGGGGGTCCTGGGGCTTCTGGTCATGGGGGGCAATGGGCTGGCTATTGCGGTGCTGGGCTCCTCGGTGTCCGGCTGGAGCCACAGCAGCCGTTTCATGCTACTCTCACTGGCTGCCTCGGACGCCGCTCTGGCGGTGTTGGTGGTGCCCCTCAACTTGTACCGGAGCCTGGAGCTGGGGCCAGCAGCCCCCGAGGGGGCAGCCGGGGAAGAGGCTGCCTACTGCCGGGTGGTGGCCTTCATCAACTCCAGCCTCTTCGGGGCCTCCCTCTACTCCCTGGCCGGGGTCTCCCTGGAGCGTTACGTGGCCGTCTTCTTCCCGCTCCACTACGGCCGCCTCCTGAGCCCCAGGCGAGTGGTTGTGCTCATCGCAGCCGCCTGGCTCCTGCCTGTCCTCCTGCTGCTGCCGCTGGCCATCCCAGGCCCCCTGGCCGTGCTCCAGGTCCGCTTTTCTGCGGCCGCCCTGCTGTGCGAGCCGGACTATGGCTCCAACCCCTTCTACTCCCTCTGGGTGGCTGGCACCATCTTCTGCCCGGCAGCTGCAACCATCACCGTCTCCAACGTGCGCCTCTGGCTAGTGGCCCGCTCACAGCGCCAGCGCAGACAGGACGCGGGCTTGCTGGGGAAGGCGGGGCGGCCCAAGAGGCTCCGGACGCTCCAGCTGGATGCTGCCGCCCGAGTGCTGCTCCCGGTCGTGGTGGCCTTCTTCGTGTGCTGGGGCCCTTGCATCGGCACCATCGTGTACAACTGTAAGTGCCCCAGAGCAACCCCCCACCCCCCACCCAGGCAAAGGGGCAGAGAGTTTATGCCAGAGGGCAAGAGGGCTTTTCCCCATCCCGGCAGTTCTGTTCGTTCTTAGCCGCCTCTTCCGTGGTCAAGGGAGGCCACATGGGGGGGGGGGAAATGGAGGGCAGGGAACTGGGAGGGGCCCTGGGATTGGCTCTCATCTGTTCAAAAGAGAGGTTGGGGGTTGCTATGTGCAGTTCCCATCTGTCCCTGTGCAATTCGTATGATCTCTCCCCAATAAAGGCTTTTCTGCACCTCTGGAAAATGCCAGGTGGCCAAAGGCTGATGCACAATTTGCATTCAGTGCCCAGATGAAGCCTGGGCCTTTAGGTCCAAGGCAGGAGCAGCTGCGTCCGTCCTCAGGGCTGGACATGATGCCATCCGAGGGAGAAGGGAGGGTGGAGACTGTCTTCTCAAGAGAAGAAGGCGAGAGGCTGGATTCAACTTCTAATTTTTTCATTCGTGAGCTTGTAAGTTTTCAAAATCTAATTTGTCCAAACATGCAGCTCCCAACGGGCGACCCATCCTCCAGGTGTGCGATGAGTCCCATAATCCTGAAATGACACATTTCCTGAGACTTCTGGTTGTTGTATCACTACGCGACCTTGAATCCTCGAACTCGCCTAAGGCAGGACAAAGGAGCCAAGAGGCCCAGATAAAACACACAGAGACCCTCCCGGAACTCACTCCCCCCCCCCCCCCCCCCCCCCCCCCCCCCCCAGCAATCACCCAGGAAAGAGTCCCCAGCTGGCTGGAATTCGTGGCTTTGTGGCTCCCCATTGGCAGCGGCTTCCTCAACTGCTTTGTCTACTTCTGGGTCAACAGGAACTTCCGGCACAAAGTCCAGAAGGTTGGACAAACGCACTGCTTGACCTGCTGCCTAACCGAGCAGGACCTGCGGCCGCAGCACCTCCACAGCATCTCTGCTCAGGTGAGGGTGCCTTGCGAGCCTCCCGGCCCTTCCCCAGATCGCTCCCACGGTGCATCGCCTTCCAGCAATGGCCTCCCTCTCCGCTAGCGTGGCTGACTTCCTTGCAGGAACCCAGTCCGGTCTTTTGTGCCACCAAAGAAGCATTTGTCACCTGGAAGATCTCGGACCCTTAAAGATAATTCAGGAAATGGATCTACCAAGTCAGTTGACTGCAGCCCCCTCCCCTGCCGGCCTGACTTCCCAGACAGGCTCCTCCAGGACCCTCCTGGGACAGAGATCAGGGACGGGGAAGCGTCTGCTTGAACAAGGTGGGCCCTGCACCAGGCCTCCCCAGAGGAATGTGAGCAACCGACCTCTGGGGAGATCTCGGAGCCTCCGGAGTAAAATAGATCTCACACCTGGCCTTTTACCCTTCACCTTCCCTTTAATGGATGACCAACCAGGGCCAGACAACCCCACTTGGTTTTAATTCCCTTGTTTTAGCGGCTGCACTTGGCTGTTTACTGGAGATTTAAGAGAAAGTTTTAGCTGGAGCCATGGACTCAGCCACAGCAGCTGAGCAGGCCGGTCCCTCCGTCAACTGAGAGGGGGGTGACATGGAGATTCCTCTCTAGTGTGGGAACATGCATTTCTGCCTTTTGCTGGGTAATGCTCATTGTGTTGGGCTAATCAGTTCCCTGAAAGACAAAAGCTATGAATGTGATTTGCCCTCCTGGGTAGGATTTTAGGACATCCCACCTGGGTTGGGTCCTCCTCCTATCTTGGGAAATGCCCCACCTTTCAGAAGGTCGGCTGGAATTTCTTAAGCCTCCTTGGCTTGTGGCCTGGGACCTCCAGCTCTCCCACACGGTCCCATTTTCCTAGCCCTGCGGCATTTCCGCCTCTTCCCTCTTTCGCTGTCTTTCCCTGGGCTCCCTCCTCCCTGTCCTTAATTTTTATATACTAAGCTTTTAATGACGCAGGCTGAGAGCAGAGATCTACCTGGGACAGATCGAAGTGTAGTCCCCAGTTTAAGAGCGACGGTCTGTTTGATGTGCTGGGATGGAATAAAACGCAGCCTGGGGGCCTGGTCAGAAGAATCAAGGTGGCGGGCGTGGCAGAGTCCCGACTGAAGCTTTGCCCATTTTTAAGGGTGCCACAATAGAGGCAGCTTTGCTTGTCTTGACTTGTGGGCCTCACTCTGCCAACACCTTGGAAATGCAGGCAGGGCTGCTCCGGTTGGGCCAGGCATTCTGCCGAGAGAAGGGATTAGCCAGCCAGCCTTCGCCAGAGCAGCCCCCTCCCTTGGGCTGCCATTGCCACCCCCACCCCACACCCCCCCCCAGCTGGCATCTTCATCTCTCTGGCCTGGGAGGGAGGGCTCTGCCGGACGTCCCTCTGGATTTGGGGGTGAGGAGGTTGGGCCGAAATTTCAGCAGGGCCTCCGTGGAGAAGAGGCCCGGTTCAGGTCAGAACGTCCCTTTGTGGTTTCCCTTTCTGACTGCCCCTCCCCCCACCCCTCCTCCTCTTTCTGCTCTCCCTTCCGGCATCGTCCCCAACGCTGAGATTGACGTGCAGGATTTATGAGAAATACCTTTTATCACCGCCCAAATCTGCTGCTACCTATTTTTTTTTGCTATGTTTTTTAAAAGACTATGCTTTGCAATATTCTGTGAATATCCTTTTTGTCTAGCCTTGATTGAATTATTTACTGTTTCTTGGATAAAACATATTAAAGATGACGTTTAGATGTATTAAATAAAAATAAAGGTGCTTTGGAGTTGATATGCTTTCCCACTGCAGTGAGTTCCTAGGGTAAAGGGAAGCGTGGTGAGGGGGCAGAGCGGGGGCTATTAGCCCATCACTTGAGTTACCTGGAAGAAGCTGCTCCGGAGGATTTCGTTCCTCTGCCAGGATAATAACCCCGATGGACAGAAGGGGAGGGAAACACTTCCCACTGCGGGATTTCGGCAGAAAATAATGGAAGGCGATGAAGCTTCTTGCTCGCTCCCACTCCGCTGACTTCCACAGAGTGCTGGACAAGAGGTTGCTTTTCGCCCCCCCCCCCCCCCCCCCGTGCAGGAGTCCCTGGGTGGGGCTCGGGTGGGGATGGGGTTGGCAGGATGTCTCTCCCAGCCTGTTGGTCCCCTCCAAGCACCTTCAGCTGGAGTTCCCGGCACCCTCAGGACAGGAGGACAGCAGAGAGGGAAGCTGCTCTTCAGCACATCTGGAGGAAGGTCCAGAGGCCAGGAAAGGGGAGAGACACATCTGGAAAGGCAGCTGCCAAGGGATGCACTGTGCCGCTCACGGAAAACCCACCCAGAATCCTCCTGAGCCCCCTTTGCTTGCTCTCCTGGCCTTTGGGCTCCTCCCCGGCTGCTCTGCACGAGCAGGGCCGAACCACGAGGGACACGGTGAATAAGCCAGATTTATTGAAGAACGTAAGAAGATTTCCAGCAACTGGTGTGACTCAAACAAGTCCTGAACTCTAAACCTAGAGACCCTTGTGCAGGTGGCCTTCCTTCCGCCCTGCTTGTAAAGAAACTCTTTGGTCCCCTCGGTTGAGGGAGCGGCTTGTTTCCACCTGTCTTGTAGTCACCCTGTTGGCTACCAGGCGGCTTTTTCTGGCGGTGTAAGAATTCTCTCTCGCAGCCCCAGACTGGTGTGACCCCCTTGCTGGGCTACTTCCCAGTTCCTCTTCCCAGTGGGAGAAAGTCCGACGCGGGAGCTGCCGTCCTGAGACAAGCCGCACCTTGCAAGGGCCAACGGAGGTCTTGGAGCCGCTGCTGTCAGTCCATGTCCCACTGGAGGGGCCAGGGGTGGCCCCCCATTTCCTGCTGGTATCTCTCGTTGAATAGAGCGCTCTGCTTGGGGGAGAAGTGGTTCCTCCAGTCGCCAACAATACCTGCAAGGGCAGAAGAAGAGCAGAGACAGAGGCCGTCCAGCCAAGGGAAGCTGGGAAGGGCAGCCCGGCACCAGCTCTCGGGACTGGCCCTCACTGACCTTTCCGCATGAACTGGCTTTTCTGGAAATCCATAATCTCAGGAGGGAGAAGCCGGCCATTCACCATGAGGTTCTCTCTCATGACCGCAAAGCTGCAGTGCTCCAGGATGCGGTTGGCCTGCTCTGGCTGAACCGGGCGGCCCAGGAAGGCGCTCAGCCGCTCCACACAGTGTCTCAGGTCCTGGAGGGGGAGCGGGGTGGAAAGGAGGCAAAGGAGAGGTGATAAATCAAGCAGGCCCCGTGTCCTCCGCCAGAAGGGCAGGAGAGATCAGGAGTCCCGTGTCATCCAGGAGGAAGGCGGCCACGAGGAACAAGGCCGAAATGTGGACTGAAAGGAGGAGCCCTGGCTGGGACCCAACCCGAAGGGACCCTGTCCTTTGACTCTGCAAGGGGCCAAGGGCTCATCTGCCTGCCCCGGCCCAATCCCTGTTGCAGGAAAGGATCCGTGGGCCGGGAACGATGGGGATTGTGTTCCACCACACCAGGAGAGAATATCCTGTCCCCATTTTAGAGCCTGGAAGGACAAAATGTGGCCTTCTGGATATTAGCCAGCAATTCTCATGATTTCCACAGCTGGTCAGGCAAGCTAGGAATTGGGAGTTTAGGGACATGGAGAGGGCCAATCTTGCACATCGCTGCTTGCAAATCAGAAAAGATAAAAAGAAAAGTATCTATCTATATATGGAACTTAGCTTCCAAACCAAATATATATATATCCTCAATCTGAACTTCAAGCCATTTGCTTTCCCTCTCCATGTAGGGCTAAATCCAGGCCTGTTTTATCCATTTGCAGCCCGTTTCCAGATCTCTCTCTCTCTCCCTTTGGTCCTTCCCCTGGCCTGACGCCTGGGGCTGTCCCGGCTGTCCTGGAGGGAGGGAAGGGAAGGCTGGGGACGGGGCTCCTTCCTTCAGCCTTTGCCTCTCCATCCTCACAAGCCAGCCTGGATCAGGCCGGCATTTGAAACCCCCCTCATGCTTCAAAATAAGCTGGTCTCCTTCCCTGCCACGGCTGGCTGGCACCCGTCTGTGGGCAAACTCACTTGATGGAGCTCCTCGTAGGTGATGCAAAACAGGCCCAGCTCTTCTCGGCAGCTGAGCCAGCCTTTCACATGCTCAAACCAAGATCCGTAGTGCACTATTTCAAAGCAGGGAGAAAACCACAGTCAGAGAGGGGCAGGAACCACCTTGCCTGTCACTCCACCCTCCTGGCAGCCACATCCTTTGCTGGCATCTCAGCCCCCTGCCTTCCCTCAAATTATGATTCATCTGAAGGAGATCAAGTCACAAAATGTTCCAAAGCAGCTTCTGCTTTGAGTCCGTCCATCTCCCAGCCTGACGCCGAAAGCAGGCGGGACTTGATGGGCTGACTGGGTGGGAGAAGGACCATCGGCAGAGTCCAGGCAAAGCAGCCGCTCCCTGAGCGACCCCCCCCGGCTCCCCCCACCCCCAGGTGTCCTTTGGTGTCTGCCCTGCTAGGCAAGGAGTCCCCAGGTGGAGGAATCGCTTCTTCCCTCCCCTAGAAAATGGCCACCTCTGCCACAGGTGCTTTAAAGCAGGGGACTTCAACTCCCAGAGGTGGCTGGGGAATTCTGGGAGTTGAAGTCCTCCTGGCTTAAAGTTGCTAAGGTTGGAGTCCCCTGCTTTAAAGGGCAGTTCCTGGTCCCCCGGCCAGCTGGACCTTCAGTAGGATGCCCACCAGTGGTGGGATTCAATTTTTTTTACTACCGCTTGTGTGGGCGTGGCTTGGTGGGCGTGGCAGGGGAAGGATAATGCAAAATCTTCAGTCAGAGGGGGTATTTACCGATTCTCCAAGCTACTCAAAATTTCCGCTACCGGTTCTCCAGAACTGGTCAGAACCTGCTGAATCCCACCTCTGATCCCCACCCATGAAAGAGGCCCCTGCTCCAGGTCTTGGGCAGCTGTTAAGCCGTGCTGGGATTCGGGCTGAGAGGGGCTGGAAGGGAAGATGAGCCCAGCAGCCCTTGAAGTGTCTTCTGGGAACCAGGAGCTCCTGCACTGCCCTCCAGGGTGGGATCCGACACAGGAATCCCTCAGAAAAAATACCTTTCGCCTCCCAGAAAGCCCCGGTGCACATTGGATAGCAGAAATGTTTTTAATTCACCTCCAGGTAGGCCTGACAACAGTGACTTTGCACAACTGCTGAAGAATGGGAAAGGGACCAATCTTTTTTTAAGAAAATCCAAGCCGTTAAGGACGAAAGCAACCGAGTCGATGCAGCCTGATACAATAGCAACACATTCACCATCTCCAGCCTGCCTGAAAAAGCCATCGCCCACCTAATGCCCTCTGAATGCCTGGAACCACAAGACCCAGCATTCCCAGCCAGCACGAGCAGAACGATCCTCCACCACATCTGGAGATCATCAGACTGGCGGAGGCTCCCAGCAGCCTCCAGAAACTTCGGCCTCCAGTTACAGAACCAACTGCAGCTTCTGGGACTAATTGGAAACAGTTGCTACCAAAGCAGCCAGGCACCGCTTAAGAGCTGGGGGGGGGGGGTGTTTGTCTCGGAACTTGGCCACTGTAAGACTTGTGGGCTTCAACTCCCAGCTATGCTGGCTGAGGAATTCTGGAAGTTGAAGTCCACAAGTCTTACAGTTGCCAAGTTCGGAGACCCCTCTTTGAGCGGAAACAGCGCTTGCTGAAACAAAAGCACAACCCCAACAGCCCCCAAATTTGCAGTTACAATAAAGCAGATTGCGAGAGCCGTAAAGACGGTCAGATGTCCACAAAGGAAGTGGCAGTGAAACTGGAGACCGGGGGTTTAAAGAACCACCCAGCGCTACCACCACTTCCTCTGAATTTTGCAACTGCTGTTTAAGCACAATGACATGAGCCACTCCGTGTTGGCAAGCAGTGATGTATATACATTGACTTAAAACACACGATGGCTGTGCTCTTAGGGGGGAAACAAACGGCAAGATCCTTCAGCCCTTCCACCTACCGGTGCCAGCCATGAAATCATGAAGGAAGCCTTCGAAGGAGGATGGTTCAGGGAAGAACTTGGCCATTCTCTGGAAATGGTAGTAGGACACCACAACATCTTTTGGGTTCCTGACCACATAGATCACCTGCAGCAGCAAAGAATGGACAAGTTGACCCCCCCCCCATAGGCCTTCCTGTTTTGACCACCTGCCATCCCAACCTTGGGTCTCCTCTTGCTGCAGGTTCCTTGACTAGCTTCACAAGAGGCACCATGACATGCTAAGCTGAATATGACACATTATGTCCCTCTGAAAGCCCCCTGAGGGGCCCAGGGTAGCCCCACCTGAAGATGTTGCCATCATTCTTGTGAACGCTGGCTCTCAAATGGACCCCCGGAGACGCACCTTGGGCTTAGCTTTCTTCAGGGCAGGTGCCAGTACTGGCTGAGGCAGGTGGGTGGTGAGGAGGCGAGGACACCGGATGTGCTGAAGTTGCTCTCGGAAATAGATGTGCTCTAACCAGGGGGCTCGAGCCCAGTTGGGAAGAGTCTTTACGGGCTCGAGGTTGCCATTGCTGCGGATCAAGGTCAAGATTTCTTGCATCCAAGTGGTGCCTGAAGGGCGGGAGGGGAAGACTGGCATGATCACGAAGACCTGTGGAACTGCAGACTATTTGACTGCAAGAACTACACAGATTCTCCTTGGGGAAAAAGGGCACCTGTGCAGAAGAGAAAGTGGTGTGGCACCTGCATCCACTCATTCAGAAGACTATCCAGAGAACAGGAGCAGAAATGCGCCCTTGGGGTTCAATGGACAGGTGACCGAGCGTCTCTACTGACCTGGGCAACTTAAAAGGTACTTGGAGCAAAGGTGCACCCCAACATTTCCCCAAGCCCACTCTGCCACAAGTAAGGAAATGGAGGTGCTGTTTTCCCTGCCAGCTGACACCAGTGGGAGAGAAAACCAAGCAGACAGAGAGAGCTCTACCAACCTTTCAGCTACCTTCAGTACAGCACTCAGTTGATGGTCTGATTTACTGATAGTCCACTGAACACAAACAATGGATAGAAATGCATGCAGATTAGAGCTCACCTCTTGGGCAGAACCAGTTGTGCCAGCATATTTGTCTGCTGACTCACATTCATGCAACTACAAGACAGACCCCTGCATGAAGACAAACCTTCTCTCCTTCCCCCCTCCAGAATTACCAACAAAGGAGACAAGGGCGCTCAGTCCAGCTCGGCTGGGCTGCGTTTTCTCTTTGCCCACCTCCTCTTTCTTCACAATGCCCCAAAGGCCTCCAGCCTGGGACCAAAAAGGGGTTGGGTGGGATTCAGGGATTCTATGGTATAAACTACCTGGAAGGACAGAGGGGGCCTCACACAGATTCTCTGGGTTGGTGGGGCGGGGATGTAGGCCAAGATCTGGTTGATGAGTCAGGGCCCTTGGCAGCTTCTTGGGAAGGGTCTTGCTGGGAGGAGAGGGCTGAAACTGGGCAGTAGTTCAGGGGTCAGTCAGTGATTAACTCTCCCACTACCTCTGAATATTTCAAAGACCATCATTTCCCTTTGAGTCAAGACTGAACACTTATTGTTTCAGAGGCCAAATAAGATAATCCTACCATTCTCTGTCTTTATTGTTCCCCTTTCAAGCTGCAGCCCACTATCTTATCAAAACAGTTGATGGGTTTCCACACTCAAACTGCTCAGGCAGCCACAAAGTTCTTGTTCAGGGTTACTTGAAATGCCACGTCGCCTGTTGCAAGACTGGTGTGCTGTGCACAAATATGAAAAGGCCGTGAAACGGAGGAAAGGCTGGTGAAGATGACAGAAGTAGCAGAGTTGGCAACATTAACTTGCTTGGTTAGAGAAGGATCACTGACCAGCGACTACAAACCCTGATGGATCTTTTGCTGACAAAAGAGACCATGGTCAAGAAGATTCGAAACTGATTCTCTGTCAACTTTCTTTTCCTTTTCTATTTTTTTTTTCTGTTTTCTTTCTTCCCTATTTATTATTTTTATTTGTTTTCTTCTCCAGTTATTACTTTGTTAAAAAATTATAATAAAGCTCAGGAAAGAAATGCCACTGTAACTAGAATGCCTTGGTTCAAAGGTGCTTTGCCTTAGCCGCAGCCTTTCAATTCTTTTAAGAGAAGTTTGCGTTTCCTCCGAAGGCACCAAATAATAAGCCCTCGGAGCAACAACAAAGACAGCAGCTTCTGTAGAGAGGAGGAGAGGAGGGGAGCCGTTTCTTTCATGAATGAGCTATTCCACGCCTCCCCCAAGAGGAAAAACATCTCTCCAGACCCACCAAGGGAGGAATAAGAGCCCAGCTGGAGAGGCCTGGAGCAGAAGGAACTGTCCGGTCTGAGCCATCCCAGGCTTCCAATATCTTTAGAAGAGGCTCCCTTTTGTACTCTGAGTAAACACTCGCTGCTACTTAATCTCACAACTGGGTTTGGTTTTGCACAGAGTTTGCCTGGCAAACAGAGAACTTCTTCCATCCTCCTCTCCCAGCACGGGTCCACCACACCCTTTACCTGACTTGGGGTAAGTGACGAGGAGGACATCTGTGTCCTGGAACTCAAAGTTGCTGGCAAAGTGGAGGGAGCTCTGGGTGTGGAGGTGTCCCGGCAGGCGTATGTTGGCAAAAACCTCGGTCACGTTCAGCCGAGCCATAGCGCTGAGGCCTCTCTGCTCTCCGGCAGCCAAAGAACCTCCCTCCCCGCCTGCTCAGCCCAGTGGTGGGAGGTATCCTCCCAAAACCTCTAAGCTTCTCTAACCAAAACCCTCATTGGCCGCAGGTGGATCAGCTTTCTTTATCTCTGGAAACAGAAGAGATTCTTCCCTACTGATGGAAATAAAATCAGGACAAATTAATCAATGATTTCATAACGCTGGTTGGGTCTTTCCAACTGTTCTTGATCTTTCAGCCAAACTGGATGATTTGCAATATGTTGTCCTTCTGTTTTCCTGGCTAATTGTTTTATTTCAAATCCTTTTTATTATTTTTTAAAATCTAAATGGCAGGACAAAGAATAGAATAGGAGATGCCAGCAATTTGACAGAGCAATTATGCACATCTGGTCTGTTTTTATGAATGTGAATACAAGTAGCAAATCTTAACCTTAATTTTAAAAATAAATCAAAGTGTGTACAACACTATTGACTTGTGAGCAGAGAAACTGGGCCAGAAAAAAAAAAGGGGTTGCACATTATAGTCACAACCATACTTGGGGGGGGGGGGGGGGGGAGAGAAAGCACAACACAATGGTATAATGTGTGGGTTCTGCTTTGTTTTTCTGAGCTACTTTGTTATTGATGCCAGAATGGAAAAACCTGATTGGTTTGTTGACCTGCTTAAGAAGTTGTTAGGAACATATAAAGAGAGAGAATAATTGAACGTGTGACTATGTGCAAGGTAACTTAAAAAGCACAACGGAATTAGGAGAATGTGATATCCCTGTCCTTTTCTATCTGGTGTTGAAGTCCGTCCTTCAGGAACTCTGCACGCTCCCAAGTGCCAACGTGTGTCTTCTTCATTTCCAGATTAGCCATCAGAGTCTGCCTGGAGAGGAACAACAAGGCTCATGTTTATGCAGCCACAACTTCAAGTTTCACAAATAAGCGGGGGGGGGGGGGGGAGGCAGGAAAAAATGCACCGAAGTAAGCCAAGGCTCCCTTCCTTTCAAGGTAGGTTCCTTTTATGCGGTTCTTACAAAGCACATCCCCGCTTAGGTAAGTTTTGCATGGAAATCAACTTAAAAGCAAACAAAGTCATAATTTATTAGGTCACTAATCATAGTTAGATGGACATACTGCCCCCACCTCGCCTAACAGGAGCTTAGAAAGCCCTTATAATTAACTTGATCCCTGCTTATCTCTTTCCTAAGCCTCTTGTCTGTTGGTTTCTAATTATCTTACTCAGTAACAGGAAGAATTGATCAGGGACCTGTCACGGCTGTCTCTACGCCCTCAAATTCCAGCTACACACGGAACAGCATCGCCTTCCCATGGAGGCTGGATCACATCGCCATAACTCCACACCACGAGGCCTCTCCTTACCCTCGCTCTCCCCGCAATGAGTTGGGCTGAGCTGCTGAATCAAATCTGGGGCATAGCAGGGCTGAAGCCCAGCGAGACCCCTTGTGCCCACCACTGCCAAAGGGGGGAGGAGAATCTCCTTCCAGCATTGGGGGAGGGGGCGCTCACCCTTGCAAGGCTTCCAAAGGAAACACAGCTCAGGCCCAGCAGCCCCGTGGTTGGAACAGCTGCAATTTCCCCATGTGTGACTGACAACCTTGGCACGACCAGGTGGAGCTCCGTAGACCTGGTGATGCCATGAACCACGACCAGTCCTGAACCAAAGGACCACCCTTTCCCCCTGACTGAGAGCAAGGTTGGATAAAAGCAGAACTGGATCTAGAGAGACCCAGTCTCTGCACGAGGCTGATTTTCACCCTGGGATCTGCTGCTCCTTTGCTTATGTGAAAGCAAAGAAGAAAGTGGCCCAGCGAGGACTGGGCTCTTTCCATCACAAATGAACCCCCGCAGCCCCTGGTTTTCATGTTCAGCCCGAAAGAGGGGGCTCCCGGAAGAACCCCCTGGCCTACTTGGTCCCCACCCAGAGGCTGCCTCGTTTGGATGTTCCCAAGGGATCCCTTCCAAGGGAGGAGGCTCCCCAGAACTGAGCCTGGAGGAGAAAGAGAGTTCCGGGGCAGAAGGTCTCTTGGACAGGAGACCTGCTCTGCGCTGCAGGGGAGGCCTTTCCCCTGGGGCCAAAGGGGCCTGGGGGCTCCAGGAAAGGAAGTGGAAGGGAGTGGCAGCGGCCCAGACCCTCCGCAGGTTGTCCCTCCCAGAGGGACCCTCCTTGGGTCTCCCTTGCTCAGCTCCAAGGGGCAGGATGAGCTCAGCTGCCTGAAGGCCTCCCTGGCTCCTCCCAAGCCCTACTCACCCTCAGGAGTTGCCACATGATGGGTGGATCCCACTCAGCCACTCCTTACAGCTCCATTTGCCTCTGAGGATCCCTTGGAGGAAACGCTTCAGGAGGTCTCCACTGCCGGCCCAGCTTCGCCCCAGGATGCCGCTGCTGGTGCCTTACCTCGTGCTTGCTTGGTTCTCCACCTGCTTGGCAGATGTCCATCAGCTGGAGGCAGACAAAATAATGAATGCCACACCTGTGGTGGACGGGTAAGAGGACAGCCTTCCTTTCCCTGCGGTGGGTTGGTGGAGCAAAGCCCTGTCTTGCAAGAGGTGGGGATCGTCCTTGGTCCTCCAGGGCCTCCTGCTGGCACCCAGCTTTCCACTGGGCTGGCTTGTTGGCACAAGGCCACATGACTTGAGACGCCTTTAAAATGTACGTGCGACACGACTGGGCTGCTTTGTTCCAGGGGACAAAATCTGCAGGGCAGGCTAGGAGGAAGTTTCCCATCAAGGCTTCCTGAGAAAAAACCCCTTTAGGAGCTGATGAATGATGATGGGCTGCAGTGGAGAAAGCGATGGAGGACCCCTTGCAGGGAGGGCTAAAACAAAAGCTGGCGATGAAGAATTGCACAAGAGTCTCCACAAAGCAGGGAACAAACATTTAAATGTCATTCTCTGGAAATAAAACAATGGATTTGGGAGCAAAACCCCCGATGTAGTATAAACAGATGGCCAACAGGGAGGGAGAACCTGAGGCTGAGATCTGTCCTTGGCCAGGTGGGTGGCGAATGTGTCACCTGTAAGAAGGCAGGTTTTTTTGTAAGGTTCGTGTGCAGCAGAACCAGAGAGAAAAGTCCCGCTGTCATAGTGTGCAAGGTGTGACCTTCCTGAAGCAGCTTCAGAAGGGATTCGTGGAGGAGGACGTGGCAGGAGAGGCAGCCAAATTGTGCTGGGCCAGCATCGTGGGAAGGGAGTTTCCATGCTAAGGGCTATTCGGAGTAAGGGAAAAGGAGCTGCGTAAGTGTGCATTCCGTTAAGCCAAGGGTGCAGAAAGCCTGTGAGAGTTTTCTTTCCCAGAACTCAAGAAGGATTCAGAGCAATGCAGGGGAAGAGGCTACAGCCCCCCCCACCCCCCTGGCCTTGATCAAGGAGCTGTTTGCTCAGTGAATAATCAACTACCAGGTGATTGCCCTCAGGGTTGGCCAAACTTGACACCTCTCCCTGGAGGGTTCTGGAGTTGAGGTGGAAGTACAATGGTCAGATGGCCTTGGAGGTGCTGGGAAATCCAGAGGTGGAGAAACATACAGGCTCTTTCTTACAAACCAGCCTGACTTCCAGTAGAAGATAGAAGCAGGTCCCTCTTTGGGCACCAGGAAGCCTGGGATTCCTCCTGAATGTGGAAACAGCTGGGGGTGGAGAGGCACATTTGAGGCAATCTTGGGAACTCCAGGTGGATTCCAGCTGTTTTGTGTCAACAAATATAGCTGAGCAGTGGCTGGAAGTTCTGGGAATTAGGAAGGAACATCAGTTTAAATTCAGTACACAATAACATTCAAGATCAAAGCAACTTTTAAATAATAACAGACCCGGTCCTATCTCCTTTTTTAAAGAGAATTTGCTTTGATCTTGAATGCTATTTGTTTATTTATAGCTGAACTTATTTCCTACAGATAGTGGGAAAAGAGGCACTTTGTGGATTGGTTGCTCTGCCATTTCCAGCTAAATGCAAGTGAATAACTGAATTTCTTAGTTAGAAGGCAAGCCATTAATGGACAAAGTAGGCTTTCATCACCTGTCAAGTATAGTTGTCAGGAGCGCAGGATCTTCTGCAAATCCAGCAAGGCTGCTGGCTGTTAGTTATTAACCGTGACAGGGAGTGTAACCAGGGAGAAAGCTGGGTGTGGTTGGCATCTTAATCCCCTTCCCCCAGCCTTTTAAGTTTTAACTTGTTTTATTCTTTTTTACACCTGGCTCTTTTATTGGTTTATTGTATAGTTTTTATGTTTTAATTCTACACCATCCAGAGCCACAAGTGAGATTTTGACAAATAAATAATAAATGTATGGATTTTTGTTGTTCTATGAATTGCTTTCTCTGATCAAAGCAAGCCAGAGTCTTCTTCGTGTTATGAATAATCCATAATTTACAACAGTTCAGCCCATCCTTTAATCTGATGTAAGGAAGATTGTTATCATCTCAACCTTTGACCTCCAAGGGCAATTGCTGTATCCTTTCATCTGCTTCAATCAGCCTCTTGAATCATAACCCAGCATCTACTCAAGATGATAAGATGTTGTCTTTTGCCTTTGTAGTCACAACGATCTGCCCTGGCAGCTGCTGACAAAATTCAACAACCAGCTGTCTTTGAAGGAAGCCAATTTGCACAAGCTTCAAGACACTCATACCAATATCCAGAAGCTGCGTCTCGGACATGTAGGAGCCCAGGTAAGAGATGAGCAGAGGACTCCCTGGCAATAAAATAAGAGAGATTAATTTAACATCTGATCATCCAGATTTTTGCGAATTGCAAAACCTTATAAGTTTGCTTACTTTCAGGTAAAGATTTTCAGCCCAGCTTATTTGTTAGGCCTTTCGGTTGTGTTCCCAATCTATGTGTGTTTTAAGAACCCTTCAATGGGTCCAACCTCTGCTGCCTGCCCACTTCCTTCCTGTCCTTTCCACTTGCACCCCAACCTTAGCTCATCTAAGGTTAGATGATAAAGCTCACACAGGAAGCGGGAACAAAGCAGCTTGAATACACATTTGCCTTCCTTCCTTCCTTCCTTCTGCAGTTCTGGGCAGCCTATGTGCCCTGCGACACCCAAAACAAAGACGCAGTGAGGCGAACTCTGGAGCAGATCGATGTTGTCCATCGGATGTGCCACCGATATCCAGATGTCTTTAAGTGTGTTACTGACAGTGCAGGTAAGCGCAGAGATGGGGCCTCCGACTGTTGCTTCCTGGCTGGCCAAGGAGGGGCCCAACTGTTGAGGTAATTCCACGTTAGGAGAATGAGCGCATACAGGGAGACGTAGTGAGAGTAATGTTGAATACTACACACACAGCACACAGATACACTGTACAGTAAATGTAGGTTTTTACTTCCCATAAGCGTTTAAGCACAGTCCAAGATAAGCAGTCCAAGTCATTCACAGGTAAATCAGTCAGTGTTCAGTCCAGGGATAATCCAAATATCAAAGTCCAGTATCAAAAACAGTTCAGTAACAGACTTACATCAACGATCAGCAACAGTCATTAGAAGGAAGGGCAATACTCTCCAACAGAAGGAAACAGAGACTCACTCACACTCTCTTCTGAGACTAAACAACCCAGGTTTCTGGCTCCATCCTATGGCTGTTTGAGAAAACACACCCAATTACAGTTTAGCATTCTCTTAAAGACATAGTATTAAAATGTCTATCCTAGTTTATATATTTCCAACCCAAATAACTGTTAGGTGACTTACATTCCTAACACCAACCACGTGACCCTTAGCACAGGGCACACGACAAGTCAGGAGGGCACCAGGTGAGGTGGGGGGGCTGTTCCAGGTGATGGAATCCAGCAAGTGGCCCTTGGTGATAAGCTGCTTCCAGGGAAAAGCAGGAGGACTTCTTGGCTCTGTCCGTTAGCAACTGCTCAGGAATCAGGGCCAAAACCCAGTGCAAGTTTTAGCCTTGTCCACTTTTCCACCCAAAATCTTAAGTCCCTGATGTGGCAGGAGAAACTGTCTGGAGCTGGGTTTACATCTAGTGCATGCAACCATTTTTTAAAACTACGATTCATTGACTAAACCAGAAAATATGACATGTAACCCAAGGATTACAAAGCATCATGCCTGGGTTCACACAATGACAACATCATCCTGGCTTGCCACACTGAGTGAACTCAGGTGACTGCAGTTTATTCAACAAGCTGACAGACGAGCAAGCCACAGCTTAGTTGATGTGTGAACCAGGCCAACATTCTTTGAGTATTGAAACAAATCCTTAGCTGGTTTATTGCAACACACAAACTCAGTTTCTGCCAGAATTCTCCATTATTCGATGCAGAAAAGAGCATGGATCAGGTGGGGGGAGGGTAAGCTAGCCTTAATTGTGAAAATCTGGTGGAGGCTTCAAACCCCCTCATAGTCCCAGCTGGCCACCCTGTACAATGAGCACCTGGCCCTGGAAACCGGATGGAGTTCCTTTTCTTGCAGGTATCCAGAAGGCTTTTGACACTCACCACGTGGCCAGCCTAATCGGTGTGGAGGGCGGCCATTCCATTGACAGCAGCTTGGCTGTCCTGCGCACCTTCTACCTGCTGGGCGTGCGCTACATGACTCTCACCCACAGTTGCAACACTCCCTGGTGAGCGGGGAGGCCCTGAAGCCTGCTTTCGAATGTGGGCATGGCAACCGAGGTGCCCTTGAGTGGGGCAGAGTGACAGCGCAGGGCTGTTGTGTAGCCTTGCAGGCCTTTGTGTAGGGAAGGGCTGAAGAGGGTCACGGGGCAATTCATTCCAACAGCAGAGTTCCATTCTGGGGGGGGCGGGGAGGTCTGCCTAAAGGGGAGGTTGGAGAGAAGGAAGGGTCAGGATTCTATGCTCCTTCATCTGGTGTCCACTTTCCTTGGCAGGGCTGACAACTGGCTGGTAGATACAGCTGAAGAGAAGCCTGTTCACAATGGCTTGGCGGAATTTGGGGAGGTCAGCAAAGGCCCTGCGGACGGATTTGAAGGGGGGGAGGGAGCTGTAGGCAGCCACCCAAGCTGCGCATCTCATCCGCCAAAGGGAGAAGAGGCTTTGTCATTGGCCCGAAGCAGAGCAGGTTAACAGGAGCTCCCATTGCAACGGGGGTTGCAAAAGTCACCACCACGAAGGAGCAAAGCTTGCAGCTCAATAGGAAGGCCTCAGTGGGGGCAACTGATGTGAGATGACAGCTTGTGCAACGGGGTTTGGGGAAGGCCCCAATGCTTTCGGGGCTTTTCCTCTCGAACCCAGAGTCTCCTGAGCATCTTCTCTCACCTTCACAAGGCCAAGGTGGAACCAGAAGCTCTCCTGTCTCTCCAGGCCAAACGATCCCCCGTTTCTTTGCTCCATAGCGTGTGGTCCTGGAGATGAACCGGTTGGGCATGATGGTGGATTTGTCCCATGTCTCTGTGGAGACGATGAAGGCTGCCCTCAAGGTCTCCAGGGCCCCCGTGATATTCAGCCACTCCTCGGCCTATGCCGTTTGCCCAAGCAGGCGGAATGTACCAGACGAGGTGCTCCGCCAAGTGGTGAGCAGGGCTGGGCTGGTGTGGGGGTGAATGCCACGGCACAGGCTTCCAAGAGCATCGATTCAGGTTGGGCAGGGAGCTTTTCCTTGGTGTTCTTCCTTGGCTCCTCAGGTGACTGACTGGCCCACCGCCTACCAGGCACACACGTGGTTGGGTGCCGCAGGGTCAAGGGGTGGTGGAGAAACGGAGGCGCTTCCTGTTTCTGGGTAGCCCCTTTGATGATGCCCTCTTCTCCCCTTGCAGAATGAGACACGCAGCCTTGTCATGGTCAACTTCTACAATGATTACATCTCCTGCAGCAGCCATGCCACTCTGGCCCAGGTAGCAGGTAATCCCAGCAGAGCAGGAACAGCACATAAGGAGACACGGGAGGGGGAACTGAGGCACACAGGAAGGGCTCAACCTCTCATCCTTCTCACCTGCAGATCACATGGACTACATAAAGCGCGTTGCTGGAGCAAAGGCTGTTGGCATTGGAGGAGACTATGACGGGGTGCCCAGGTATCAGCAGGAGAGGCAGGGGGGTGAGGGTAGGCTTGAAAGAAGCCCAGCCTGCAGTGGGACAAACGTAAGCCCCAAGGCTAGAGTGGCCCATTGCTCGAAGATTGTAGGCATCTGCCAAGAATGCTACTGGCAGTTTAGTGCAGGGCTGCAGGAACCATGTCCCAGCTCTGGCCTGTATGTGTGGTGGCCTTGAGTGAACAGGCACCCTGAGAGGGAAGGCGCTCCTGGCCCTTAGACCTCTTGCCCTCTGACCAAGACATGGCCAATTAAGGAGCAGGGGGGTGCAGATGGGCTCCTGGAGGGGGTGCAGCACCAGACCTCAGCCCTGGCATGAGAAGAGAGCATGCAAGGATGGGGGCGAGAGACGTGGAACCCTGCACTAAATTCCTTGCAATTTCCCTGGTCTTTTTTTGGCTCTCAGAGTCCCTCAAGGCTTAGAGGATGTCTCCAAATACCCAGACTTAATTGCTGAACTGCTGAGGAGGAAATGGACAGAAGAGGAAGTGAAGGATGCCCTGGCCAACAATCTGTTGCGGGTCCTACGGGAAGTAGAGCAGGTAAGACCCCTCAGACCAGAAGAGGAGCTGGAGGTGGCTGGTAGAGACTTGGGCATGGGAGAACCTCAGCTCTATCAACTGGCAACGTCTAAGCCCTCAGCAGCTCTCGTCTTCATCTTGGGCTCGTTTTCCTGTTCTATTTGAACTGCCTGCCTTTGAAGAACCTCTTCCCACCCAAGAGAACCATTGGGACTCAAAAAATCTAGATGGAAGTGTATTATTATTAAGTGCCTTAAAGGTTAAGGTGTTAAATCAGGACCATGAAGATCTAGAATCTGGCTCACTTCCACCCATGGAAGCTCAGTGGGCATCTTGGAACCCCCGTTTTCTTCCCCAGTCCAGTCTACCTGAGAGGACTGCTGTGGGGAAGGGAGGAATGTAACCCAATCTAAATCTAATGAACTAATCTGAGCAAGCTCTTCTCCTTCCTTAGGTGCGGAACAGGATGAGTTCCAATGGAGTTGCTCCCGACGACACACCCATTGCCTTCCAGGACCTGGGAAGAGGATGTCGAACACACTATGGGTACTCCAACCAAGGGCACCACCCGAGAGCTTTGCCTGCTGTGCTCCTAGCGCTATTATTGCTCTCCACGTTGATGCAATAGAAGCCCCGGGATCTCCTTCCTCGTAGACTATGAGGATCCTGCGAGGTTAGGAAAGAAGCAGCACTTCTACGTCCAATTCCTATCACTTCAAATTCTGTCCAAATCTTGGACTATTCTCTTATTACCTCCATTAACTTATATGGCAGTTATCACAATACCATTTGTGCGTCTGTCACGGCTCCTCTTTCCCTAATGGGAGGAGCAAGCCAAATTCTGCTTTGAACTTTCCAAAGTATTTGCTAGTCGCCTTCTTTGCTCTGCATAATGCCAGACCTGCAGGGTGGGGAGTACAGGGAGCGACACCTTAGGTCCTTCTGGGCTCTTTTTCCCCACCTTGTGAAGGACAGAGATTGTAACGGAAGGGATGACAAGAGAGTAAGCAGGTATACAATGGGGAATGCAAATCAAAAGCAATGCCCTGAATGTATTCCCCATCGCCTGTTTACTTCCTTGTAATTCTCCCCTCCAGTGAATGTAAATACCAGCATTATTTCCTCTCTCGTGAATCACGCAGCTGGGGTGGAGTGCTTAGGGGGTGAACAAAGCGAAGGAGTGAAACCGATTAGTCTTGTATTGGTTTTGAACAGACTGTGCCAGCGCTGGGGGCAGGTGGGTGGTGTGTGTGTGAGCATTCAAAGGGCGGGGAGTGGCAAAAAAAGGGTGCAGTTGGGTTCTCATCATTTCCTGCTTAGCAATTGCTTTCCTTAATTATAACGAGTTGCTGATCCCAACTGTGGTCGCTAAATGAGGACTACCTGCATCACATTGTAACAATAATGAGAAACAAGGGGTTGGCCTAGAACCAAGGGAGACGGTGAGTTCTAGTCCCACTGTTGGCTAACTGGGTGACTTTGGGCCCGTCCCTCTCAGCCTAACCCGCCACACATAATTATCCTTGGAAAAGGAGAAGGAATATTAGGGATGCTTGCCACTGTGAGTTGTACATGGACAAAGATATTGGGATACAAATCTTTTTAAAAAACCCCACCTTGACAGAAATATGCAGGATCCATTGTCTAGGTAAGGAGGGCTGGTGTTTTTTTAAGCCCCGAGAAAAGAAGATCAGATCCAGAAAGGGCCCCTTCCGGACTGACTGGGGTATCGGGAAACGCCAAGCAACCAGACTGGCAGGAGTCTCTGACTAAAGCCAACACCAATAAAAAGTCATCTTTATCCAACTTCCTGTAGAGTTGATTTCCTGAGCTGGCCCACCGTGCTACCTACGTGCGCCCCAGAACAGCTGTCCACAGCAGCTCCTCTTCCCCAGGAAGCAATCCCTGTGAAGATGGAGCCGGACCCTCTTCCGCAGGAAAGCCCCCCCCCCCGGTCCCCCCTCCCCCGTGGCGACTGCATTCCCTATCCCTCTCCCCGTCTCCCCACCCCACCCCGAGAAAGCCAGCCTGGGCTCCCTTTTGGCCTCTCAAACAACTGAGCTGCTTTGGTGAACCGTTTGAGAGTCCCAGGCGACACAAACTACCACCCAGCTTTGCAAATCTTGACGCAGCTCCTGCTTCCCAGAGAGAGTTTATTTAAGCCAGCATTAAAACAACTGACAACATTCACTTTTCATTTACAAAAAGAAAAAGGCAAAGACAATATTTCCTAGTGTTGGAGAATTCACTGCTGTGTAAAAAATAAAGGTTCCAGGGAAGAGGATTACAATCTCCCGCCCTCCCCAGCCCAGAGGAGCAGGGCAGCCGAAGGACCCCAAGGGATGGAGGAGCGGGGAGAGGGACTGAAATGCTTGCTTGCCACCCCAGGGAAACTGAATTCTCCAGGGGGGGGGGGGGGGGGGGGATGGGGGCCTTGGCTCCCATTTACTCCCGCCCTGTCTACACAAGGACGCCCCCAATGGGGGGAGCTCAAACACCAGGTCGGCAAAAGGCCCCTCTCTGCCCAGGAGGGTCCTCTCCTGAAGCCGGTCCTCTCCAGACCCAGGAAGGCGTTCCCCTCCCCCCTATGGGACAGGCAGTGGGGAGGGGAGGGGAGGGTGAGGCACATGCATGAAGGCCGAGGGCCAGCAGGGCCGCTTCTCTCAAAGGTCACTTTGTGGTCTGTGAATCCAAGGCCGGTTCCAGAGCTGCCAGAAAAAGGGGCGTCTCCGTCTTCCTGGCAGCGTCTTCCCAACTTCCAGGTGGCCAGCTCCCCACGTACACGGAACAAGGAAGAGGGAGCAGGGCAGGAACCGGCATCAGGAGGAGCCGTCAGCAGGCCGGAATCTATGCCTGCAGCCCCAGGCTTGTCCCTGGCCCTCTTAGGAGCCCTCACCCCCGCAAGGGCCCTGCTCCGAGAGGCAAGCACTGCATGCTCAGGTTCCTCTCATCAGGCCGGAGGGGGGGGGGGGGGGGGGGGGGAAGCGCAGGCTGGGAGGAGAAGCTCTCGGGGGAGGCAGGGCATCCATTGCAGGAGAGCCCTTGGCCAAGGACCAGGCACGCCCACACAGAGTCTTGCGGTCACCACAGCTTCTTTAGGCAGGAGCCATGCATTGCTGGAGGAGGAGGAGGTCCACGCTGGGCAGGGCAGGCCCGCAGAGGTGGACAGGGCTGTCTTCTCCCTGCCCCTTGAGGAGAATGGCCAGAGGGCTGGAAGGCCAGGGCTCCAGGCAGAAAACCCCACAAATCACAGGGGGACAAGGCAGGAGCAACTGTCTGCGAGGGGGCGGGAGAATTAATTCCGCAGGGCAGCCAACCTGAAATTGCGAGAGGAAGATCGTTAATGCAGGGAAATCACATCTCAGCCGAGCTATTCAGGTCTCAGCCCTGCCAGATTTTCCGGCTATGGCATTTCTAAATGTCGAATTGTATCCACACACAGAGCCTCCCATGGCGTTGAGCTCTTCCCCCCTTTCAACTTCAGCCTTTTCTCCACATAAAGGTTCCCAACACTTCTGATCTGCCTCCCTCTTGTGAACACACAATGTAATTTCAGCTAATTAAGGAGGAACTCAAATTCAGGCTGTGGATGTGCGTAACGCTCAACCAGAGATTTCTTTCAACTCTGGTTTCCCGGCCAAGTCACAATGGCCGGGTTCACATCTAACGCAAACCACAATGGACCAGTTCCCAAAGCCCTTTTTCTAGAAGGCCCCACTAGCAAGTCAGCCCACGACTGGCGTCACTGAGCGAGGCAGGATGAACCCTGGCAAGAAGCAGGGAAGCTGACCACACAGCCCCAGAGCAGCAACAGACCTGGGGGGAGGAGAGAGAGGCAGGAGCCCCCAGCAGCCCAGCTTTCCTTCTTCAGTGCGATTCTTTCGTGCAATGTGGGCTACGCACGTTAAACCACCCTCCGCTTTCCTTTCTGGAAAGCTCCACCTGCCCAGCGGGCTGGCTCTAGATTGACGGGCTGACGAGAGCTTCTGGCCAGAGTGCAGCCCTGTGGGCAGGCGGAGGGAAGCAGACCAACCTCCGTGACAGCTGATCCTCCTGCGAACGCGTCGAGCTCTCTCCCATGGCCGAGGCCCCTTCGGGCAGCTGGTTCAGCTGGTCCATGACCTCCAGGCCGTTCTCCTCCGCAATCTGCACGATCAGACTGTCCACTTGCTCCTGGGGCGTCGTCAAAGTGGTGGCTGAGCTCATGGAGTCCTCCATCACCTGCAGGGACCCCAGGCAGAAGTGTTGTGACAAAGGCAAGGAGCAGCAGCAGCCAAGGTGGGGACAACAGACAGACACCCTGAACAAACCGCATCCCAGGGAGTCAAGCCATCCACCCGCCTCTTGCTAGGGACACCCGACCTCTTACTAAGCTAAACCACCATCCCACCATCTTCCTTCAGCTTCGCTCTAAGAAATCAAGCATGATCGTCTCCAGCTACTTTGTTCAAGCAACTTGGGAGTGGAAAATGAGGGGGCCTCTTCTTGCTCAACATCTGGCACAAGGCAGAATATGGAGCTGCGTGATCCACTGACCTGAAATGCGACAGGGGCTGGCAGTGACAAAGCAAAGCATGAGCCAGCAGATTCAGTGCTGGACTCCTTTCAGCCCCGTTTCAAAGCCTGCTTGATCACAATCTGTTTGATTTGGAGTAGACTAAATGGGGAATTCCCACAGATACCCAAACACTTTCACAAGCACGCAGAGAAGGCAGCAGAAGCTAGAGAAGAACGGGAGTAGGAGACTGTGAAAGCTCAGCATCCCTGCAGCACTTACTGAAGTGTGGACATCCAAATTCTGGACCTGCTGTTCAAACTTGTCCATCACAGCCGAAACCTTCTGAAGATCCATGGAGCCGAGAGCTTTGTCCAAGGCCTTGGTCACCTGGGCCATATTCTTGGTTACCTGCAAGAGTCAGGAATCGTATTCACTTGGAGGAACCACACCAAGCCAGGGCCAATCCTGAAGAGGGGGTTTCTCATGTGGCGCTGGAAACAGCAGCCCAGATCAAGACCAGCAGAAAAGCGTGCAGTGGCCAGTCAGTGCGGATTTTTCGAGGCGTCCTATCCACACGGTGTTGCCCTCTTTTAGTCGTGGAAGCCCTGAGGCAGGAAGAGACTCGTGGCCTCCAAGTGAGGTTCAGGCTGAATCTGGGATGCTGGAATCTCGTGAGCTGCTGGTGGATAAAGGCTGAGTGGCAAAGGGGGAAGGGAGCAAGAGGAAGCCAAGTGGCCTAATAGGAAATGTCCAGTGGGTAATTTCTACATATCAACGTAGTATCACACCCCCACCCCCCAAGTAGTTTAGTTGGCTGGGAATGACGGAAACTGTCCGGACCTAGAAAGCGCCAGTTTAGTGTAGATCAGGGGTCCCCAACCACCGGTCCGCGGACCGGTACCGGTCCGTGGAACAAGTCCTACCGGGCCGCTGGTTTGCTGGGCGCCGCCATCTTTTTTTGATGAAAAAGTGCTTCTGGTGAGCTTTTCCGGGTAGAAAGCTCACCGGAAGCACTTCTTCATCAAAAAAAGATGGCGGCGCCCAGCTAATGCCGGTACCGGGCCGCGCCATAAAAAAGGTTGGGGATACCGGGCCGCGGCATAAGAAAGGTTGGGGATCACTGGTGTAGATGATCTTTTGTAGCCTCAGAGAGAGACAACTTCAACCTGTTCAAAGGGAGCAAGGAAGGTCACGTAGTATTGAAATAAAGTTCCTTACTCCCTTCATGGTCACAGCTGTCTGGACCTTGGAGGCCACAGCATCTACACGGGAAGCCATCCGCAGCCAGTTCAGACCTTCGTTCTTCTTCCGGATGGCGTTCTCTGCGTAAACCCGAGCACATTCCACATTCTTCTGCTGAAGGGCCTGGAATTCAAGACGAGGAGCTTCCCTCAGCATCATAGTTGCTCCAAACAAAATCAAGAGTGGAAGGAAAGGGATCAGATCCCAAGAGGCTGAAGGGAAGACATTCCAGAAGTTCATCTGCTTCACAAATGAGGAAGAGATGTGGGGGGTGGAAGGGAAAGAAAGAGGAAAGCTCCTCCAGCTGAGAAAGGCATGGGAGATGCAGGGCAGGACCAGAAGGGCAGAAACGCTCAAGCTAAGGAGAGAGAGGAAAGGCCTGCAGACAGCCTTTAATGCCACAAGGACTCAAAAGATTGGAAGCTCGGCGGGTAACAAAAGAGGGGCAGACCAAAGGCTTGAAGGCAGCAGAGGTGGAAGCCCAGCCTTCCCGACTCATTTCTCAAGAGTTATCCCCGCCCATTACTCCTAGCCTTGGCATTCAGGCCCCTCACCTTCTTGACTTTGGCTTGTTCTGTTTTGGAGTCCTTTTCTGCCTTCTTGGCAAGCTTCTCCAGCTGCTTGGCTGTAAACTAGAGAGAGGCAGATGTTCAACAGGCCTGTAGGCAAGAGCAGGCACCCACCCCAGTCCTTGCTTCCTCTGGATAGAGTAGAGGAAGATCACAGTCCCATAGAAGGACAACCAAGTTTTAAAAGTCAGAGATGGAGGGATATGTATTGAAGGAACGATGGACAGAGTGGAGGCCGTTTACTATCTCAGCTAAACCTGCCTCAGCTCCAAGTGGCATCAGAGGAGCAGCCATTCCTGGATTTCTTGACAAAAGTGGACTAGGAATTGTTCTGCTACAAAAACAGACATTCACTGTCCAAGGAGAAGAGTGATTCCAAATCAGAGTGTTTATTGTGAAAAGGGTTAATTGTCGGTTCATTTTGCTACAAGAATTTTGATTCTTAAGCCCTAAGGAAAGCACTTTTCATAGCACTCACCTTTAACTGAAAGAGTGTATCTGTGAAAAGAAAAATGAGAGCAGTTGGAAGGTTTAAGGATAAAAGGAATCTTCAGTAGGAAGGGCAGCTTTTTGGATTCACAGCATTCCTTCTGCCCAAATTAGTGCATTCCACAAAATGTTTCCATAGATTTGAAAAATCCAGACACAAAACTTATTAGAGGCTAAGAAATTAAATAATTAGTTCCTCGTGTTTTTTATGTCTGTTACCATTTCTCAGTTCTGCACCCCCTTGGGGCTGATCCCTTTGGCCGCTTAGGAGTCCTGAGGACGGTTCCAGACTAAACACTCGGGCTTCCACTTAGAATATGACAAGGTGAATCCGGGGGCCCCGAGGAGCCCCTCCTGCCCAATTCCAACCTTGTTTTCCGTCTCTGCCTGCTTGCTCCCTTTTCTCCCGGGGCTCCAGGTGGGCCGCCCCTCCTCTGCCTGCCAGCGCTGGGTCCTCCCAGGGGCTTCCGGAGCGGAGTCTCCCCGGTGCCAGCCCCGACCACCGGGGCCCCCCGCCCGCCCTCTTTCTCCTCCTCCCCCGGCCACTTCCTGGCTTCTCCTTGGCGGGACGAAGGAGGGAACGCCGCGCCTGGAGCCTCCCGGAGAGGACCCCCTCCCGCCCTCCTTGGGAGGCCCCCCCGCCCACCTCCCACGGCTCCCGAAGGGCCGGACTCGACTCCAGCCAGCCGCAGCTGAGATGATGGGAGCCGGCGTCCCCAACCCGACTCCCCCGCTCCAGCCCCTCACCGTCCATCCCGGCTGAAGTCCCCGCTCGCCTTTTCCTGCCAGGACTTCCGGGTTCCGGAGACGCTCACTTCCGGCTTCCTTCCGCTCTGGAGGCGGGGCCTCGGGAGGCGCATGCGTCATCCTGCCTAGACGGAGACGGAAACAAAAGGCTCACGTGCCTCTTCACAAGGCGGCCACGGTTGCCGCGGCAACAAAGAGCCCGGATGTTGCTGCGCTCAGAGCCCACCTTCATCCCGATTTTATTTTATTAATTATTAATTAAAGAGGCGCTCCTTTAAATTCTCGGGCCGTAAAAAATATTAATTAAGCATCTTCCCCTGGGATTAAGGCTGCAACTATACAATGCCCAGGCAGCGCTATTGGCTGATTGGAGATGATGGGTTTTGCAGTCCGGTCCTCTCAGACTGGTTGCCACACCTGCTTTCCGCACCCCAATGCGAGTATCTACACTCCCCAGACACGCATCTGGGGTCTCGTCTGAGCGCATGGCCAACCCGTGCGGGCTCAGGGTCAACAATGGTTGCTTTGCATCTGCAAAGGGAGTGGAGGAGCTGTATGGAATTTAAAAACTGCCTTTAAAATCGGCCTGTAACTTTGGAGGAGAGAAACAAAGATCCTAATCCGATACTGTGCCTTTCGCATTTGGCTGAAATGAGAGGCCTCCATCCAATGGTGAATTTTATGCAGTTATTAAAGTCTCTGCTGATAAAGAAGATAACAGAATATTTCCCCTAACTATAATAACTATTTCCTGCTTTCTTGTGGTTATAAAAACATATTTCTCTCACACCAAGGGCTAAAAAATGTATATAAACCTTGCTGATGTGCCAGTCTGTCGTCAGCTGTCCTAGAAACAAGGTTTGTACAATTCAGACCCAAATAAAATAGAGAAACTTCTTCCCAAGCAGCTGTTTGCATTTTCTTTCCTTGGAACCCAGGAAATTCTCCCACAGAATGTGAGGTGTCCATGCAGCTTTTAGCACCTCCCTCTTAAGGTTAGGGTTATCGGAAGAGCAAAGGCCAGTCAATGCTGCCCACTGTGCTTGGCATGAGAGAGTCGGTCGGGAGACTGGCAGCTGGATCCTGCCCGCCCCCATAACCACTTTCATGGCCACACTTGGAGGTGGGGGAAGAGAAGGAGGAATGGCAACGCAGAGGTAAATGAGGGAGCTGTAACATCTCTTCCAAATAAATGTGTTTGTTAAATGACTGAGTCAATAACAGATCTGTACTTGCACAGATAAATCAACGTTGGCAATATAATTTCCGTGCAGTCCTACTTGTAGTATTTCTTCACTTCCTAAAGGGAGTAAGGGGCTTCTTAGCGTTCCCACCCGAGGGCTGCGCTGGGACGGGGGAATGAACTGGGATCAAGAGGTGGTCCCTGCTGCTGAGGAGAGAAGGGACAGGCCCACTGCCTTGGGGTGGGGGGTGGGGATGCCTGCCTCTGAAAGAGAAGCCATCTCCGCCCATCTGCCCAGGCTAAGGGGCTGCCCAGGTGCCAACCAATCGCCCCTTTTGGGAGAAGAGGGGGGAGTCTCAGCGGCAGGGAACGGAGCGACCCCTCCAGGCGGGGCCGGGCAAGGGCGACCCAGCAGCCTTTCTCGGCCCGCCCCTTCCAGCTGGCCTGTGCGGAAGCGGGGGGGAGGCGGCAGAGAGAAGAGCATGGCGGAGCAAGAGCCCGAGCCTCTGCGCCTGAAGCGGCTGCACGGCGGCTTCTTCGCGGTGCCGGCTGCACACCGGGTGAGCGGAGTCTCACTGCCAGGGCGCCCTTCGCGCTCCCCGGCTCAGCCCTTCTGCCCAGCGACCGCCCGGGCTGCGCTACGTAGTCCGCGCTCACCTGCCGGGCGGCCGCTTGGTCGGTGCTGCAGCTGGGCCGGAGCGCCGCCCCCCCCCCGCCCCGGGGCAGCGAAAGAGGCTTCTCACCAGCTCTCCTTTCAGCTGGGAAGATGCCGGAGCGTCAAGGAGTTTGAGAAGCTCAACCGGATCGGAGAAGGCACCTATGGCATCGTGTGTGAGTCCCGCCTGGGGAATCTGCCCGCCGGGCTGGGTAGTGTTTGGGGAGGGCCCGCCCTGGGTGACCCGGCTGAGCCTGGACAGGCTTCAGAATCCCCCCCCCCAAATGCCTCCAGCTCTTCCGGGCTTGGGATGTTACCTGGGAGCCCAAATCTCTGTGAAGGAGGGCAGCTCCAAGTGGCAACACAACCGAGGGATGAGGCAGACAGAGCCACCTAAATAATAGGCAGCTTCAGGGGGGAGGGTGTGTGCGTGTGTGTGTGTTACAGTCGTTCCTTTGTGAAATTGCCTGGTGGGACCAGGAGGAGAGAGAGGGTTGCGGCTTTGGTTGCTCTGCTGTTTCAGATCGTGCCCGAGATACGCAGACAGGTGAGATTGTGGCTCTGAAGAAAGTACGGATGGACAAAGAAAAAGACGGTGAGAAGAGCGGGCTCCTTGCAGGCCCGGCTTGGGGAGCAGCCCGGCGGCACCCCTCTTAGCTGGGTCCTCTCCCCCCCAGGAATCCCCATCAGCAGCCTGCGAGAAATCACCCTGCTGCTGAAGCTCCAGCACCCTAACATCGTGGAGCTGAAGGAGGTGGTGGTGGGCAACCACCTGGAGAGGTAATTCCCTGGGCAGGTGGACAAGAGCCTGCCCTCTTAGCCTAGCCAGGAGAAAGCGCGCTCTGCCCTGAGCTGGGAGGGCAGCAGGTGATGGGGGGAAAGCATTAGCAGAAAGTGGGGTGTGAAAGGGTGGGGATTCTCCTTCCCTCTCTGGGCAGAAGAAACAGAAGTGTTCAGGATTCCTTTCCTGGCTGCAGCAAGAACCAGGCCTGCCTCCGATTCCCCCCCACAGCATTTTCCTGGTGATGGGCTACTGCGAGCAGGACCTGGCCAGCCTCCTGGAGAACATGCAGGCTCCCTTCTCCGAAGCCCAGGTGTGTCTGCAGGGCAGGTACAGCTGTTGTGCTTTGCTTGTGGTGGTCTCCATGCCACCCTGGAGGAGAGGCCAGAGGGTCTGGGGGAAGAACTTTCACCCCAAATAACTATCCCAAAACCGGGGCTAAAGGGCAAGGAGGTGTGTGCTCCAGCATAAGCAAGGTACACTGGCAAGGGCCTGAGCTTTCAAAGGGGAGATAAAATACAAAAACAATTGGATCTGAAAAGCCCTTTTTTAAAATTCACTTGATGCCCCAAGGACTACAATGCAGGGCAGCCTCTGGGGAGGGAGGGGGGTTAAGGCCCAGCCTGGTACATTGACATGGGACTTGCTTTGTCCGAATGGGCCTAACTTGTTCACACATTCCAAAACATGGTTTGCTTTGTGCTGGACAGGGTGACTGGCACAATGTGTGTGATGTGTACACAGTTTTAAACGAAGGAACCATCATTTTAGCATCTCCTTCTGGATCTTGAGTCCAGAATTGCATCCAGCACAGGACAGGGAGGTGGGAGGCCCTCTAGTGATGCTCCCGTTTGCCCGCCTCCCTGCAGGTGAAGTGCATCGTTCTCCAGGTTCTCCATGGTCTTCAATACCTGCACAACAACTTCATCATCCATAGGTGAGAAGGGCAGGGATGGGTCAAGCAGGAGTGGGCACTGGCACTGCCCAGCCCCCCAGCCTTCTACATACCTGTTTTGTCAACTACAGGGACCTCAAGGTGTCCAACTTGCTCATGACTGACAAAGGTTGCGTGAAGACAGGTGAGTCTTTGGCTATAGCATCTCAGGTGCCACGTGCTCAACTCAGCTACTGGAGATTTAAAACAGCAAGTCACCTGACCTCTCTGGGCATCTTCTCTTGCAGCGGACTTTGGGCTGGCTCGTGCCTACAGGGTCCCCCTGAATCCCATGACTCCAAAAGTGGTGACGCTGTGGTGAGTTGGCTGGAAACGCCCCCTCCCTGGAGAGCACTGCTGACCCCCTTCCAATACAAGCCGGCTGGGCGTTGTCGGGTGACCCTGAGCACCGTCACTCTTTCCTTCCCCTTTCAGGTACCGGGCCCCCGAGCTCCTCCTAGGCACAACCACGCAGACCACGGCCATCGACATGTGGTGAGGAGAAAGGGACTCCAACCTCGAGCGCTGGGTGGGCTCCAGCTTGTGGGGTGGGGAGGTGGGCAAAGGCTTTTCTGCGGGGCTGCATTGCAAGAATCTGAAGGAGCAAAGCAGTGTGTGCCCGTGTGTGTGTTGCTGGCTGGTGGTCTCACCACTAACTCTGCGTCTGCCCTGCAGGGCGGTGGGCTGCATCTTGGCGGAATTGCTGGCCCATAAGCCTCTGCTGCCTGGGAGCTCTGAGATACAACAGGTTGACCTGATTGTGCAGCTGCTGGGCACTCCAAACGAGACCATCTGGCCCGTGAGTCCTTTCCGTCCACTGCTCCTCATCCCTTTGCTCCGCTGTGCACAATGAAAACCACAATTCCCACCTCGGCGGGTTTGGCTTTGCTTTAGCATGCTGGCTGGGGAATTCTGGGAGTGAAGCTGCAGGAGGCAGCCAAATATTTGCTTCCCCCTTTTCCAGGGTTTCTCCAAGCTGCCCCTGGTGAGCCAATACACCCTCCGCAAGCAGCCCTACAACAACCTGAAGCACAAGTTCGCCTGGCTGTCCGAGGCCGGCCTTCGCCTCCTGAACTTGCTCTTCATGTACGATCCGAATAAAAGGTAGGCGGCCTTCACCTGCCCCGGATCCTTCTGGGGGGCGCAACTCTGCCTCCTCCCTCCCAGCCCTCAGCTTCTTTCACAGGAGCAGCTGCCCCACAGGGAAGTCCTGGCTGGCTTCTCAGAACGGGGCTGCGGCTTAGGCTTGGCAAGGGGACGACAAGAAGGGACGGCTCCTTCACTGCCACGTCTCCTCCACAGAGCAACGGCCGGAGACTGCTTGGAGAGCTCTTACTTCAAGGAAAAGCCATGGCGTAAGTGCCCCCCCCCCCCGGGCCCCTTTCCTGCAGGCGGGACCACCTCCCCCTCCTCCTCCTCCTGGGCCTGATCCCTTTTCCCTCCTTCCTTCCAGCCTGCGAACCGGAGCTGATGCCAACTTTCCCCCATCATCGCAACAAGAGGGCCGCCCCGAGCACGGGAGGAGAGTGCCTGGGCAAACGTAGCCGGCCCTGAGGTGGCAGCTTCTCAGGGCACCCCAAAGGTAGGGCAGGCTCATGAAAAAACGGGCGCCTGGCGGGTTTCTGCACCCGTGATATTTTCAGGGATATTTGCGCCAACACAGACAGCAAAAGTAGGTCAAATCAGGTTGGTTGTTCCATTAAAAAAGCCCTAGATGAAAAAGTGCCTTTTTGTAAGCTGTTCTGTGGGTTAAATCTGCATATAATTCTGCATTTCCTTCAACGGCTCATTCTGTTTCCTCGCTTTTCAAAAGACCAAATGTGGAATGTCTTTTTGAAGAAGGGGGGGGGGAATATGTGTCATCTCCCCCACCACAACCAGTCCTCCCTTTTCCTGTCTCTGCCTCCTTTCACCCCTGCCAGCTTTCTGCCAAGTGCTTCTCCTGAGGCGGCGCAGGGGCTGGGGGGAAACGGCTGCATGTCCAGGACCCTCTTGCTCCCCAGGGAGACTCACGTGGGGAGCAAAGCACCACCCGCCTCCGCCTCCTCTCTGCACTGGAGAGGATCCTCGGTCCTTGCCTGGACCTCCCAGAACCAGCCCGCCCGGATTCTGCTGCCAGCCTGGGCTTTTCCGCTCTCCTCAGCTCTGTCCAAAGCAAGCAGGTGCTCCGGATGCTGGAAGAACAAGCAGAGCTTTCCTGCTGGAGCAGCCAAGAAAGGAGCAAACTTCAGGGCCTGCAACACTTTCAAAACAGCCGCAACTTAAAGGCAGGTGGGAAGCACCCGCCGCCCCCCCCCCCCCCCCCCCCGCCCCCCCGGCCCGGGCCCCTCCCCAGGGGCCCCTCCCCCCCCCCCCCCCCGGCTGTTATGTGGCACGAGCTGGGCAGCTGACCGCTTTGGAAGGAGGGGCTGGGTTTCAATAAAGACTTTTCTTCCAGCCTGAGGATTGCTGGGCACCTTGTCAGTAGTGGGATAAGCGATGCCCAGGCCCCAAGTGGCACCTGTGGGAGATGGGGGGGGGCGTTTGATGCTGCTTTGCCCTCACCACCCTCTGTACTCCCCCTGCGTAGGGTGCAGCTCCAGCTGCCTGTCTGCTCCTAGGCTGTAAATACATTATTTGGGGGTGGAAGAGATTCCCTGTTCCAGCTATGCTCCTCCTGCGCAAAGACACATGTACATGCACCACCCACTGCCTCAAGGCCTTTCTGCTTCCGAGGATGAAACTCTGGCAGCTGCGCGACTTACAAGCGGAAGCCCCCACCTCCCATGCCCGCAGGCAGCAGCAAGGAGCTCTCCCTCCCTGAGCCCGTCTGCCAGAGGGCATTGCTTGCCACGGCCACCAAAAGTGGCACCCGAGCTCATTCTGGAAACGGGAGGTGACCCTGCAGCTGCCACCAGAGAACCTGGGCAGCCGTTCCTGCTCTAGGCAGCTCCAAGTGAGCCTCCTTCAGCCCTTTAATGGGAGGTGCTGAGAGCCAAGAAGGGCAGACAGTGGGAGGGTGTCCAGAGACCCAGAAAACCAGGTAGCTTTCAGGTATGTTTATTACAACTGCATCTTTCATGAGAAACATCAGCAAAGTGACTGCTATCACGGGGTCCCTTCCGGCTTTGTAAATGCTGCCCGCGGTTCCTCCCCGACTGGTGGCTTGAGCAGGAGGCTCTTCTCTGGCCCTGCTAGAGCAGCCTCGGGACAGGCAAAGGAGGCCTTCCCTGACGAGACGGGCACCCAGAAACCCACAATCCCAACCCTAGAAATCAGGGTTCCTGGCAGGTCTGCTCCCCACCTGCCACCCCCAGACTTCACGGGCGTTGGACTCGGCCCTTCATTGAAGCCGGGCAAAGCCACCCCATCTCCTTCCCTCCAGTCCTCTGTCCAGCTCCGTTCTGTTAGAAGGGGGGGGGGGGGCTTGGCCGCTTTGGACACGGCCCCCCCCCCCGGCCAGAGGGGGAAAGCAGGTTTGGTGACCTCGCAGGGCGTCCCGGTCCTATTGCCAGGGCCCTCCCCCCTCCTGCAGCAGCCTGTCCACCTCTGTTCGTTGCAGCCACAGGCGCTGCTGCTTCTCGCTCTGCAGCTCTTCCACGAGGTGGTGGCGGTTCCGGCAGACTTGGGCCCCATCGCAGCTGCTGACATGCAGCAGCCGGCAGGTGTTGCAGCAGGAGCCGGGCAGGGCCCCCGGGAGCAGGCAGGAGTGCATCTGGTAGTGGGCTGGCTCGGGGCTCAGTCCCTGAGTGCTGCTGTGCAGGCTGGCCGGGCTGAGGTGGAGGCTCCTGGGGTGCCTGGACAGAGGAGAGGCCGGGCTGCTCGTCGCCTGCGAGGGGGGGTCGGAACTCTCATAGCCCCCCAGACCAGAGAAGAGGAACGGACTCCCCAGCTGAGCAGGAAAGTCCGTCTCAGAAGTCCTGCTGAGCTCCCGCCTCAAGGAGATGAAGGAGAAGGAGGTGGCCAGGTCGGGCGCGTCTGAGCCCAGGAGTCCATTGCCACAGGAAGACTCCCGGCTCCAGGGGGGCTCGCTCCGGCACTCTGCCAGTGGCTGGGGGCTCCGCCTTAGGAGCCGGGGGCTGCCGCACTCGCTGAGGGAGGAGGTTTCCTGGCCCCAGAGCCGACTGCCCGCAGGCTCCCTGTAGAAGCCGTGCCCCTCGGTGCTCTCCCGGTAGAGATCGAGCCCGCCGGCCAGGTCTGAGCGAACCTCGCGGCTCCGTGGCCACCGTGTCAGGCTCTGCAGCTTGGCCACGCACCGCTCCAGGCTGCCCCTGGCCTCCTTCCGGGCCCTCAGCAGCTCATCGGGCGGCACCACCCGCGGCTCCAATTCCTCCACAATTTTCGCCAGGATCTGGCACTCCACCCTGGCCGCAAAGAAGCAGCAGGCTGCACAGAGCAGGTTGGCGCTCGGCGGCAGTCGAGAATTCACCAGGTGGAGGCGGTCTTGCTGTACGTAGCCCAGTCGGCGGAAACTCCGGGCAAGGTCGGCCTCTGGCAGGACCCCCTGAAGGACGTGGACGTAGACCCCGGAGAAGGTCTGCAAAGAAAGCCGCCCGTCAGCTCCCGAGGCTTCCCGGGCCCCCCTTCCCCCCCCAGCCTCAACCAGGGCTCACCTTGATGGTGGCAAACTCTTTGCGCCAGGGGAAGAAGTACAGGTTGACGGCCGCCAGCTCCAGCACTTCGAAGGCCCTGGCCAGGTCCCGCAGGGCCCCTTTGGCGTCCAGGTGTCCCCGCAGGGCGGTGGCCAGCGTGCCCAGGGTGTCCTCCCCGTCCAGGCGGCAGTGCAGCTCCGGGTCCTCCAGCAGGTGATGCCACAGCAGCTCCTTCAGGGAGGCGTCGCTGCAGGGCCCCACGTGGCCCCTGCGGAAGTCCCTCTCCAGGCACCGGCGGTACTCCTCCTGCAGGCCCGGCCCGGCCTCCATCCTGCCGCCGGGAAGAGGCAGCCGCTGCAACTCCAGGCCGGGAGACCCGCCGGGCGCCCAAGGGGCCGGAGCCGGGGGGGGAGCGCCGCTGTCCCGGCAGCCGCCGCCGCCTCGTCCCCGCTCGGCCTCGCTGGGGGGCGCCGGGGGAGCCTGGGCCGGGCCGGGGGGCCGTCGGGCGCAACTGGGCCGCTTCGGGCGCGGAGGGGCCGCCGAGCAGGCCAGAGGCGAAGCAGCCCCCGCAACAAAGGGGGTTGCCGGGGCCGCTGCCAGGCGCCGACGGGCGGTGGGACCCGGCGGCTCGTTGGAGGGCAGCCCCCGCCCGGCACGAGACCCCCGCCAGCCCCGCCGCGACCCCGAGGCGGCCTGGAGCCCTGCGGGAGGGGCGGGGCTCGGGTTGGGGGGAAGCGCCGCCGCGGCGGGTCCGCCGGTTGGGATTCGAACTCGCGCCCCGCCGCTCACCTGCCGGCGCCCCC